CCTAACGACGTGCCGCAGGCTGTGCGACCACCAGGGGAAGACGCCCCGAGAGAGCAGGGCTGGGGGGTGCAGGCCGCGCAGGGCCAGCAGCCGGGCGAGCTCGCACGGGGCACAGTGTGCCCACCCGCCCTCACCCGCCCTCAGCGCACCCTGAGGTTTCAGCAGGAAATGTCTCCATGACATGTGGATGGGAGGAGCTTCTCAAATAAGACAGGAAAAGCTAAACGTGAAAAGATGGATAAATCTGACGACAAATCGATGAAAAGCGTTCGTGCGTTAGGACAGCTACCGGAGCCCTGGTCGGGGTGGCTGCGTTGGTTGGGCATCACCCAGAGCACCAAAAGGTCGCTGGTTCAACTCTCGGACAGGCTAGATCCCTGGCGGGGGCGTGCCGGAGGGAGCCGATCGATGTTTCTCTCTCTCCCTCCCTCCCACTGTATCTGATGGTAAATGGAAAATTTCCTCAGGTGAGGATTTTTTTAAAATAGCCATAAAGACATGAAGAGATGCTCAGTCCATCTGTTATCAGGAAAATGTATGTTAAAATCATAGCAATATACCGTTTGCCCATGAAAATCTTAAAATTAAAGCACCGCCAGGTGTTGGTGAGGCTGGGAGCTTCGAGAACTCACACGCTGCAGATGGCGGTGCCGACACGCAGGAAAAGCACCTGGAATGGCCTAGAAAGTGGAACATGTATATAGACACGAAGTCCAGCAATTCTGCTCCTCAGGGGAGGCCCTCAGAACAGGCACAGGAACACCAAAGACAAACGCAAGGATGTTCTTATGAACAGTCTTTGTAATAGCAGATATCTGGAAGCAACCCAAATGCCCATAGCAATAAAACAGATAACAAATCACATGATACTCTGCAGCAATCAAAACGATTGAATGACACCCACCTCATCACATGAGTGGATCTGAAAATCCTAATAATGAGTGAAAAAAGCAACCACAGAAGCACACAGACAAGGTATTCCATGCATTCAACGTTCACAAACAGGCCAACCTAAAAAAGGAGTATTTTGGTCTTTCTTTATATGATACACTTGGGGAGCACACAGTCAGGACAGTGGGTGTCCCCCAGGTAGGGCTCCTCTTTGCACTTTGTAAAATGGGCTCTTGTGGAAGTTTATGTTATCATCATTCTTTTAGCTTAACACAGATGCTATAACCATGTTCAACTTTTAAGTTTTTTGTTGTTGTTTTGTTTTTGTTTTTTTTTAATCCTCACCCGAGGACATTTTTTCATTTTTTGTTCAGATAGAGCAGGAGGGAGAGAGAGAGAAACATCGACGTGAAAGGGACACATCGAGTGGCTGCCACCCGCACGACCCAACCAGGGCCGGGGACAAACTGCAACCGAGGTACATGCCCTTAGCGGGAACCGAACCTGGGTCTCTCTGGACCGCAGACCAACGCCCTAACCGCTGAGCCAAACCGGCCAGGACCAACTTTTAAGGTTTTAAAATCATTTTAAAACTTGTGCAATAGACAAGGGCCTCTCGTGCAGAACCCTGGGCTTTGATTTCTGTGGAATTGCAGCAGCCAACCCGCGCCAGGCCGGCCGGCTGGCCCAGAGGCAGGAGTGGAGATGCTTCGGAAGACAGGGCCCTGGGGTCCTGACGTCACCACCCAGCCCCGTGCAGCTGCAGCCAAGTTACTTCACCCTCCTGCATCTTCCCCTAAAATGAGTGTGTCGCAAAGTAACCACACACGGAGGAACTCAGTGAACACTGGTTTCCAAAACCCCACGATACCTCCAGCACCCATCCAAATGCATTCACGAGGGAGAAACTGAGGCTGCGGCTCCTAGGCGGCCCCCACCAACACACGCGTGCAGATACCCCAGAACGTGAAGTGGCAAGTCAGAAAGTTCTGTTCTGCACATTCCGAGCATGTGGCCTTTAATGCTGCAGACTTTCTCACCCAAATGCCAGCATCTCTCATTTTCCCTGCGGCTGCCACAACAAACACATGAGTATCCGTGATGGAATTTTCCCAAATGGCTCCTGTAGACCACACACACGCGCACACACACACACACACACACTCCTCTCTCGTTCCTCTGCCAAGTTCCGTCTGTGCGTCTCTCACCCTGGACTCCTGACTCCAGTGCCCGGTCCTCAGGCAGGACATGATTGAGGGGACAGTGACGAAGGATCAGGCCTCGCCCAGCAGGGTTGAAACCTCACCTGTGACTAAGGTGACTGACCTCACCACCCTAGGGCATGCCAAGTCCATTCCAAACCAGCACCTTCCTTCTTAGCATCGATGCTGCCCGGCTGGGCCAGCAGAGAGGAGCTAGGGTTCAGCAGGCCCAGATCCCAGGATGGGGTGGTGCCCGACTAAGTGCACCAGCGCTGAGTCGGAACACCCCTTTGACACGCGCGAAATGCAGCAATAACCACCTCAGAGTGCTATCGAATGGCTTCAGCGAAATAATACACGTAATAGACCTGCAGATCAGCATCCAAAAACATTGCTACATCCCCAAACCACTTCGTTTTGACTTTGGAAGGAACAAAACAGTCTTCACAGTCGATTTGACTTTAATTGGGCTTCTCTGCGGCTAGTGCTGCAGTGGTGGGGTGTTGGGGGGCCCTGAGGAGCTCTGGAGGCCCCATTTGTCTTGGGCGTATGCCCTCAGACAGGCCGATGCTGAAGGAGCACCCAGACCCTCACTCTTGGGGCGGAATGTGCTGCATCAGAGAGCATGTGGGCTCCACCTCCTGGGCTCACCTCGCCCAGGGCAGGTTGGGAAACAGCTCAGAGGCCGGCCGTGCAGGGGGGCATAGGCAGGACAAGCAGGAGAGTCAGGTGCTTCAGGTTTTACAGAGATCACCTTGGAGGCAAAATCTTGACCTCCAAGGTGGGCAAATCGGGGGGACACTGACCAGGGCAGGCAGAGGTAGGAGGGCCTGCACAGAGTCCAGAGAAAGATCTCTGGCTGCCAGGAAGCCTAACGCCAAGTGGGTCAGCACCCTGGACAGCGACGTTCACCTGACGGGGCTCTGCAGTGCTGGGGAGACACCACCTCCCAGAAGGGCGTCCGCAGACAGGGCCCACGGAGGCGCACAGGGCACTGCGTTGTCACTGCTCACACACAGCCTGAGTTCTTCCCCACACGCGTCCACGTCCCCACCCACCGCCATCCGCCAAGGAGAGCTGCTGGCCACCTGCAGCTTTATGAACGTCCGATAGAGGCCAGAGCTGAGTGGGGTTCAGGGCGTAACAGGAAGAAGACACAGAGTTTGAGCAGGTGCGTCAGGTGTCCTTCAGTCTGCAAGAATTACAGGAGCCGGACAGGGTGGGCGACCGGAGAGCCGGTCCCCACCTCCTGGGGCTGAGGTTCCCACCAAAGCCGTCTCAAAGCCTTAGGGAAAGCGAGGGCGGAAGTTTCCAGAGGCCAGGGCAGAGGGGAGCAAAGGGGCCAGGAGGAGCTAGTGGGAAGGGGGAAGGGCTGTAGACCGTGGACCACAGCATCCTCAGCCTTGGTCATGCCCACACCGACCCACAGCCCAGCCTCGGAGCAGACCTACGTCAGGGCTGAGTCACCACCAGGAAGGGTGCGCGGAGGGGGGCTGTTCCCTGAGAGACGCCCTGCGGGCTCCTCGGGGCCGTGACAGGGTCAGTCGCCAACTCCTTCCAGGGCCAGAGGCGCAGGGGGCGGGGAGAGAGGCCAGGTCCTGGGCAGAGTCCAGTTCAAGGCCCGGAGTCTCCGGCTGCCCTGTCCCGTAACCAGTGCGTCTTTGTTTCCGCACAGTGACTGCTCTCCCAGTGCCTCCTGGGAGTCTCCAAGCAGCATATCCGCTCAGCGCCGCGGACAGCACGCCCGTCTCCGAGCGGCACGGTGTTAGGCGAAGGCAGACAAATGCTGGCCCCTCTTCTTCTTCTTCTTTTTAAAAAAATACAAATATCTTTTTGTTTATATTTTTGTATCCCCCCTCGAGGACATTTTTGCAATTATCTTCAGACAGGGAGGGAGGAAGAGAGGGAGAAACATCGACGTGAGAGAGGCACATCGAGTGGTTCCACCCGCGACCCCAACCAGGACTGGGGACAAACTGCAACCGAGGTTCGTGCCCATAGCGGGAACCGAACCCGGGCCCCTCTGGTCCACGGGCTGATACTCTAACCGCTGAGCTAACCGGCCATGGCTGGCTCCTCTTCTTAGTACATTCTTGGCAAAGGGATTCTTTCACCAAAGGACAGGGCAGGACTTTGAGTCCACACATTCCGCCCTGGCCCCAAACCCTCACGAGCCCTCCCTGCCTTCCCAGACACAGCGTAGGGTCGTGGCTGTAGGATCCGTGCGCGGCACCGGGATCCGCATGCACAGACATGCACACACGCCCAGCGGCATGTGCACTGGAGAACACCACAAGGTCCGCGGACGGCGTCGACGTCCCACCTGCTGCCGACGCCGTAGAGCACGGCGCTGCCCTGGGGAACCGGACGGAGACCGCGGGGACCTCTCTGTACCAGTCCCCCTGACCGCATGTGAATCTCAATCACCTCAAAATGAAAAGGTTTTTTAAAGAAAAAACACATCACATGGGAACCGTCTACCTTAGAACCAGGACTGGTCGGTGACAGTAGCGCAACCCTGACATCTGCCCGGGACCTGGAGCTAAGCACAGGTGAGGGTGGAGGGAGGAGGGCGCTGGGAAGGCGGGGCGGCCGCCCTGTGAGGGGCACAGTGTGGGGGAGAGGCCCCCGGAGGACCCCGCGGCTGGCCTCCACCTCCGCTGCCACCCTTCAGAGCCCTGCCGGCAGGTTATTAATATTTTATTGGAAACCTAAGATGATTCGAATTTCAGCTGTCATGCTAAGTGCTGTTGCCAGGCAACGCCAGTGCCAGTCCATGGGGCTGTCTCCACAGCTCCCCCCTCACGGGGCTCGAGGTGGGGCTCGACCACCCGAGACCCGCTCGGCTCAGACCCCGCGGCCGCCCACGCCTGCGCCCCGGCTGCGCCCACCGGCCCCCCGACTTACCGTACTCGCTGTCATAGAACATGACGAACTTCTGCCAGTGCAGCTCCGTCACCAGCCGGAGCATCACGTCGTTGAGGCGCACGGGCGGCCTGGAGGCCAGCGTGTAGGCCTCCCCGTCGGGGCTGGGGTTCAGGTGGCAGGCGGTGCGCGGGGACCCCCCCGGGCTGCGCTGCACGAACAGGTGTGGGATGTGCATGGCATCGGTGAGCGACTGCAGGGCGTTGGCCGGTGCGCAGCCCGTGGACGTGACCAGGGCCAAGATCCCCTGCGTCATGAGGTCGCAGGCTGGGAAGAGAAGACAGAGGGGAAGGGGTCAGCATGGGGGTGACTGCTCTGGCGTCAACCCACACGGCCCACACCCGGCAGCTCGAGGCCCCAAGAAATGCTGCCTCCCCCCAGGGACCCAGAGCCCACCCCGGCCAGGCCAGCGGCTCTCATGCACGGGCTCCCTGACCCTTCAGTGACCCTGCCACTGGACGTCCCTGTGCCCATTTAACAGATAAAGAAACAGAGGTCAGTCCAACCACTGGGGCTCCGTGGTTGAGCGTCAACCCTGCACCAGGAGGTCACCAGTTCGATTCCCGGTCAGGGCACATGCCCAGGTTGTGAGCCAAATCCCCAGTGGGGGGCATGCAGGAGGCGGCCAGTCGATGTTCCCTCTCATCCATGTTTCTATCTCTCTCTCCCTCTCCCTTTCTCTCTCTCTAAAATCAATAGAGAAAACAATTTTTTTATTTTTTTTTTAATCCTCACTCGAGGACATTTTTGCATTTATCTTCAGATAGAGCAGGAGGGAGAGAGGGAGGAAGAGAGAGAGAGAAACATCAATGTGAGAGAGACACATCGACTGGTTGACACCCACGCGACACCAAACGGGGCCAGGACAAACTGCGGCCGAGGTACGTGCCCTTAGCAGGAACCAAACCTGGGTGTCTCTGGTCTGCGGGCTGATGCTCTAACTGCTGAGCCGAACCGGCCAGGGCGAAAGAAAAAAACATTTTTTTTTTAAAGAAACAAAGGTCAGGAGAGGCCACATGCTTTGCCCGAGGCTACTCAAGAAAGGGGCAGAAGGTGTCCAGCCCACATCTGCTTGCGACACCGATCGGTGCTGGTTGTTGGCTGAACTGCGCTGACGGGGACGGAAGAGAATGAGGCACATCAGGAAGTCGGGGGACGCCTCCCCAAGAACCCGGGCTGTCAGTACAAAGGCCACAGAAGCCGAAGTCTCCTGGCCGAGCCCACTTGCTTCACACCCTGAGGACACGGGGTCGAACCCTGGAGGAGGTGGTGGCTCCCGCAGCGGAAGACCATTCAAGAGCCACCTGACAGTCACCAAGGAAGGTGTCCCCGCTGAGGGGCACGACCCCGGGCACCAGCAGCCCTCCCGGGTGCCGCACTGGCCTTTCGGCGGCATCGTGACCACGAGGGGCAGCCCTTGGTGCCACACACCTGCCCCTTTGGGGCATCAGACCAGACACAGAAAGGACACCGGACGCCGGACAACGCTGGAACTATTTCCCGCCACCCTGGCGCAGCGTTTACGGGTGCCGCTCCAGGTGACGGCCGGAAGGCGGGAGCAGCCCCGGCTCAAACTGCCTGTGGACGTCAGCCGGCCGCCCACCCAGCTCTGGAACAACTTGACAACACGGCTGAGACCCTCTGCGTCCCTGGGACGCCTCGGGCGAGGCTGGGAACAGGAGCCCAAGAGCAGGGAGGCACCCCCACAGAGCAAGGGAGTGGGGCTGGGCCCTGCAGGCAGGGAAGACCACCCCCCACTATTGAGCCCCAGCTCCCCCTTCGAGGACGCTCCTGTGGCCCACTCAGGACGACAACTCCAATGCCTGGTCCTCCCTGCTGACCCCTCGGCCTCCAAGCACGAGGCAGGCAGGGGTGGCTCCGCAAGGGTCTCCCCGAAGTGCCCCTTGGGGGTCACGGAGCCACCCAGTGTTCTGGCCCCTCGCACCCAGGCTGGACACTGCAGCGCCCTCCTGTGCACAGGCCCGTGGGCGGCTCTGAGCCGTGGGCAGTCACAGCCCTCACACTGCTCCGGCGCCTGCTCACGACGCCCCAACGCCCGGCGTTTGGCCCCGGACCCCCGCCGTGGTCTCTGCTGCCTCTCGAACCTCTCACTCAGGCTCCATCCCAGACTGGCTAAGGCCCCCTTGTCTGGTGCCCCCTGCACCCCACCATCCCCTCCTCAGTCTCTCCTACTGGGCCCCAAGCTCCAGGGGGCGAGGCCACACCCGCTCTGCCCACCTTCCTCCCTGACACCTGCCCTGGTCACCACGCGGCAGCTGGTCAGGACCGGCGCAAACTGCCGTCGGCCTGGGTGACCACGCCCTGGTCCAGCCACGTCGCCGTGGGCACCTATCCAGACTGGAGCTGGCTTCAGGGCCGAAACGTGTGACGCAGCCTCAGCCCCGCCCCCCGGGCACTGCCAGGTGGGCCATGAGAAGGGCTCCTCTGACGGGACACAGCCGGACGACACAACGTCCCCGCAACACCGAGTGAGAACACAGGAGAAAGGCCCCAGGGGCCCTGCAAGGCCACAAGCGAGGCTGTGCCCCAGCAGAGGCCTGGGTGCAGGGTTCCTCCTCCGCGCGTTGTGGAAAGTGCGTGCCGTGAGCGGATCGTCCTTCAGCCAAGGAAACGACCCCCCGTGGGTCAGTGTGTGGCCACGTCACCAGAGGGACTGTCCCCTGAGCATTTCTCCGCGCCAGACGCTCGGTACCTCACAGACGCGGATTCACAGGGTGCTCGGGCGTCTGTGCCCTGTGGGCATCTCTGCATCCATTTCCCAGGGATGGAGTCACGAGGCCACACGGCCGCGACGTGGTACACCCTACACACGCCGCTGAGAGGTGGCCATGGGACCAACGGCCGCGAACCTGCCCGCTCACCGGGATCACGCCGGAGCAAAGCCTGCCCAGACGCAGGAGAAAACACCAGAAGCCAAGGGCTGCAGGGGACGGAGTCCTCCCGCCCGTACTCAATGACAACGCGTTGCACGGACAACTCAGAAAGTGAACTTGCAAAGTGAACTGCTCATCACTGGGGCACCAGCTATCCAGGGACTCCAGCCCGGGCCCCAGCCCGGACACCAGAGAAAACGCCCTCCTTCTGGCCGTCTCTGGTCCCAGCTGTGGCTGCCCACCCTGCCGGCGCCCTCCCAGGTCGTCGCTGCTCCGAGGGCTGCCCTGTCCCCACCCAACACTCTGGTTCTGGGGCGGCCAAGCCCCGAGTTGCAGAGTCCCGTCCAGGCTCGCCCCCCACTCTGCCCAAGGACTGTCCCTCCCTCCTGCCCGCTCACGCACAGCTCAGCACACTCCGACTTGCAAACCTCTGTACAGGCACCAAGGGGGGGGGGAGGGCAGGACGACCAGGGGCCCATCTTTGATCTACTGAGGAGCCAGACCCCACTGTTCGGCCTGTGCAAAGGGGAGAGGGAGCTCTCTGGGGCCCAGAGGAAGTGACCTCACGTGGACCTGACGTCAGGGTCTCAAAGAAGAGAAAGATTCAGACCAGCGGAGACGAGGACCACGGTGTGCCGGGTGCCGGGTGTGGGCACAGGGCCGGGCATAGAGCGTGCTCAGAACAGACAAGCACCTGACGGGGCCCATCCCCGGCCCCGCTGCCGCCAGAGACGCGGCCCCGGCAGGACCTGGGCCCCCAGGGCAGAGCAGCTCTGGAGTCTCCTGTCCCGGCTGCGGTTCCTCCGGTCAGCAGCCACGTGGCCTCCGGCTCCTCGCCTTTCTGAGCTCTGGCTTCGACTCAGTGAGAATAGGGATCTCTGCCCAGCGGAGCCACGAAAGCAGCGACAACGAGGACACAAGTGCCACCCTGCGCCGGGCACCGCGCAGATGCCAGTTTCCTGCCCCTGTCCTGGGGCACCCCACTTCCCCCGCAATGTCCCCACCCCCAGGATCCCAGGAAATAGTAATTACAACAGAGAGGGACCTCACCGCCGCAGCAGACGGCCCTTCCCACGGAGGCGGGCACCACGGCCGATCCTCCGCGGCCCGTCCTCCGCGGCCCGTCCTCCGCGGCCACCTGCAGCTCCACGCAGGCCCCTCGGGCCCCGGCCCCGGAGAACGGGGCGGCCATCAGGGCTGGGAGCCTCTCGGGGCACTAATGGCCAATGCACGTCAATTTCCATCCGCTGTGAACTGCTAATTGGGGCACCGTGGAACAGTGTTATTTAGGGCCTCCTCACATAAAAATAACAGGATCAAAATACATCGATCGAAGCCAAATCAGCTATTAGCGTCGTCACAGCTGTGTGCTCATTCCCGGGACAGGACAGGACACCACACAACTCACGCCCTGGCTGTGCAGAGATGTGCGCCCAGCGTGGGGCCGGTGGCCTGAGCCCGGCCGTCAGGACGCTCCAGGGGACCTCGGGGAGGGGCTGGGCGTCGGTGCTCTCTGGGTCTGGCAAAGATGACGGGGCACCTCAGGGCCCTGTGCGTGTCCTGTGACGTGCCGCCGCCGCACGACCTGACACTCTCCCCTCCCGCCCAGAGCTTCCCGCAGCTCCCGGTCCTGGCGCCCACGTCACACGGTCATGAAGCTGATGGCTGATTGTGACAATGCGGCAGAGGGGCTGACGAAGGCCCCAGGAAGGGCTCATCACTGGGGAAGCGAGAGCAGGGACGAATGGAATGAGCAGCCTCGAGCCCCCACCCGGCGTGGTGGCCGAGGACCAGAGGGCCCCTCAAGAGCGTCCCGGGAACCGGGAGGACAGAAGCAGCTCAGAGCTGGGCGCCGAGGCCAGACGAGAGGACCCCCGGGCTCAGCCAGCATCCCAGACGACATTCCCAGACACCCCGCAATCACATCTTTGGGGCCGGACACGTCGGCATAGCACTGGCCAGGTCACAGGACAGACGGGGGCTCCGTACCCTCCCCCAGGTGAGCTCTCTGACCCCCGATGAGAAACACAGAGAGGGCCGGCCGCATGGCCAGGATGCACAGCCAGAGGGCAGATGGCACAGAGCCTGAGACAGAGCGCGGGTCCCACCGCAGTGCCAGGTGCCAGCAGGGCAGAGCACGGGCGCCCCGGGGAGCTGCACGACCCGTCCCTGCAGGGACACACCCGGGGCAGCTCCCCCAGGAGCACCTGCCCAGGGAGGAGCCCACAGCCCACGAGCAGACGCTGAGCCTCCCTCCGCGGAGGGTGTGGCGCTGACCGCTGACCGCTGCCCCAGACCTGAGGTCACTCTGGCACCACTGCCAACCATGCCCAGGCTTCGCATTCCCATGGGGACTCCGGGAAAATCCGAGGA